GGGGAAACAGTGGAAACAGTGGCTGACTTTATTTTTCTGGGCTCCAAAAATCACTGCAGATGGTGACTGCAGCAATGAAATTAAAAGACACTCAGACAGCTTTAAAAAGCAGAGACACACTTTGCCAACAAAGGTCCGTCTAATCAAGGTGATGGTTTTTCCAGTTAGTCATGTATGGATGTGAGAGTTGGACTATAAAGAAAGCTGAGCGCCGAAGAATTGATGCTTTTGAACTCTGGTGTTGGAGAAGAGTCTTGAGAGTCCCTTGGACTGCAAGGAGATCCAACCAACCCATCCTAAAGGAAATCAGTTCTGAATATTCATTGGAAGGACTGATGTTGAAGCCGAAACTCCAATACTTTGGCTACCTGATGTGAAGAGCTGGCTCATTTGAAAAGACCCTGATGCTGGGAAAGATTGAGGGCAGGAGGAGAAGGGGACGACAGAGGATGAGATGGTTGGATGGCATCAACGACTCAATGGACGTTGAGTTTGGGTGGACTCCAGGAGTTGGTGATGGACAAGGAGGCCTGGCGTGCTGCAGTCCATGGGATCGCAGAGTCGGACAGGACTGAGCAACTAAACTGAACTGAAAATAGCCACTAGAGAAGCCACAAGGAGAAAACCAAGGTTCCCTGGCCAACTCCTCGCCATCTGTGATCTTCCAACCATTCTAACTGCCATCTGACAGAAAATACATGAGGAAGCCAGGAAGACTGGCAGAACAACCACCCACCAAGCCACAAAATCTTGAGAAGTAATAAATGGTTGTTCAAAATTCTGTAAAGCAATTATCCTTCATTGAAAAAAATCAAGATTTTTTAAAAAATGATTTTTTAAGCCACTTACAAAAAAGGTTGGGAGAGAAAGAACGAGTAGGACTTCATTGAATGGAGAGAGAAAAGGCAATTGAGGTTGAGCAGGAATTGCTCCAGCAATTGTGTTTGAGGAAAGCAAACGTGTAAAAGTTCCTGATTCTTGCTGCCCATCTCGGTGCCTTGGGTAATAGGAGCAGGTGTTTACAGAACACTCCCTGTGTGCCAAGCACTGTTCTAAGCATGCTCTTAGCATTAGCTCAGTGGATGCTCACAATAAACCTAGATGAGGGCAGTGTGTTCGTGCCGGTTAATTTTGTCCCTTGCTATCCCACAGTTTAAAAAAGCTCCCTCCGATTGCTCTCAGGGTCTTCGGGCCGGTCCTCACCCTAAGCAATGCCGCCCGCTCCTCTCCGTTCCGCCCCGCTTGTTGCTGGCGGGTACGGGCGTCTGGGGTACTTTTCTGCTGGGAGTTGCTTTTAGGCACGTAATCTGTGGGCCTTGTTTAATTTTTCCTCCCAGTTAGAATGCAGAAAACTTCCCCCAGTCCCGCCAGAGCGAGGGTTTCCTGGTGATTGGAAACTTCCTCTATTAAGACTCCCTTCCCGGGACGGGTCTCCGTCCGTAGCTCTTTTGACTCCCTTATTATCGTTTATATTTTTTTTTGTCCTACCTCCCTTCGAAGACAATGGGCTGCTTTTCTGGGCGCCTGATGTCCTCTGCTAGAGATCAGAAGTTGTTTTGTGAAATTTGCTCAGCATTCAAATGTTCTTTCGATGAATTTGTAGGAGAGAAAGTGGTCTCTCCGTCCTATTCCTCCGCCATCTTGGCTCCTCCCACAATTATTATTTTGAAATTTATAATATTTGAAATAATGTTAAGTTTTAAAATTTCTAAATTGGTTCACTTGGATGAGTAAAGAGGTTATAAATGTTTTATAGCTAAGTGTTCTGAAAATAGATAATGTTAAGACCTAAGACTCATTCCACAAGATTTTTGAGCCGTGTTAGATGCTGGAGCTAGTGGTAAACATGATAGATAAGGGGCTTGCTGGCATGGATGTTGTATTTTACTGGAGGAGACAGAATAAGTGCAGTAAAAATCATATACTAATAGTGAAAATTATTAAATAATAATAGTAATAAAATAATCAGGAAACTCTCTGTGTGTGAGGGAAAGAGGGAGAAGAAGATTTGTATGGGTAGATTTAGATCATGTGGAGAGGAAGATATTCCTTGAGACTATGACTCATGAGCCGGAGTCCTGAAAGAGTCCCAATAACACATGATGTGCAGAGATCTGAAGAGAGAACAAACTTAGGGTATCAGGACAACAGGAAGAAGTACAATGTGTTAGTTTCCTATAGATGCTGTAATAAATTCTCACAAACTAGATGGCTTAAAAAAAAATAATAAATAAATAAACCTAGATGAGAAAATAGATACACAGAAAGCAAATCACTTATTGAAGGTCACACAGCTAGTAAGTGACTTTGAACCTCTGTCCACTGCTCCCATTCTAGTCCTGGGAACCAGAAGAAAAGGAACCTCTGTCTCTTCCCATGGCCTCCTTTCCAAGTTGCAGCTGAAGTTTGGAAAACCTGATTGTCACAGATTGGTCCCTGTGCCCTCGTGTCTGCTGAAGTCCCAACCAACCCCTGGCCCAGCACCATCAGTATGTTGTAAGAATAAAATTTATGTGTGTCAGTTGTCACAGTCCTACTCCTATGCACCCCTACATCAAGAGATAGGTCAAGGTAAGCTTTGCACTTTAAAGCCACTTCCACTCTCTGATACAATTCCTGTCCTTGAAGGCTAATCCATGTAGTTGGCCCTCCTCCTCATCTAACTACCTTCCTCGGTTGTAGAATGGCTTGGGAAGCACCCTGGTTTCCTTTTCACCCTATGTCCATGCCTCATCCTGAGGTCTTTTAAAGTCACATGGCATCTTGGTTCCTTGACTGTCTCATCTTCAGCAACTTTTCCCCCCATTGCACTTGAGCCAGGAACCCATTCGCAGATAACTGTTCATCTGAAGTTATTCAGGACATCTATCTCTTAGGATAACCTCCATCTTTCTGCCTGGTACCATCAGTGATTTCTAGTACTCCTATTCTGAGACTTTCAGGCCAGTGACATGAGCCTTTCCAGAATTCTCTTATGTACCTCTTGAGCATCCATTCTGTGCCTTTTTAAAAAAATTTAAACTTTTAACTTTCTATTGGATTATAACCAATTAACAATATTGTGATTATTTCAGGTGAACAGTGAAGGGACTCCGCCGCACATACACATGTATCCATTCTCCCCCAAACTTCCATCCCATCCAGGCTTCCACGTAACATTGAGCAGAGTTCCATGTGCAATACAGTAGGTTCTTGTTAGCAGTGTGTACCTGTCCATCCCAAACTCCCTATCTATTCCTTCCAGCCCCATCCTTCCCTCCAGCAACTATAGATTCCTTCTCTAAGTCTATGAGTCTGTTTCTGTTTTGTAAGTAAGTTCATTTGCATCATTTTTTTTTAGATTCCACATATAAGGGATGTCATCAGATATTTCTCCTTCTCTGACTTCCTTCACTCAGTATGACAATCTCTAGGTCCATTCATGTTACTGCAAATGGCATTATTTCATTCTTTTTTAATGACTGAGTAATATTCCATTGTATATTTGTGCCACATCTTCTTTACCCATTCCTCTGTTGATGGACATTTAAGTTGCTTCCATGTCTTGGCTACTGTAAATAGTGCTGCAATGAATGCAGGGGTGCATGTATCCTTTCAGATCATGTTTTTCTCCAGATATATGCTCAGGAGTGGGATTGCAGGATCATATGGCAGCTCTATTTTTAGTTTTTTAAGAAACCTCCATACTGTTCTCTATAGTTCTGTGCCTTTTGTTTTAAGCATTCTTAAAAGCTGAGATCTTAAACTCCTTGACCCCATCACACCTGTCTGGCCAAACATCTTCCTGGGATTAATCCAACAGCTCACTTTTTGTGTGTCTGTATCTTAACTGTTCAAGCTAACTATAGAAAAATCACACAACCATCATATTAGTATCACCATAAATCAAGAGTCTCCACTCTCAACAGGGTCCTCAATGTTCCTGAAATCTTACCATATTTTCCTGCTCTCCAACTTGCTACAGTGACTATTTCAAATTCATAGTCAAACTTAACTGTAAGCTTCTATGGGGTAAAGTCCCTGTCTGCTTTTTCACTACTAAATCTCCAGAGCCTAGGATAGGCTTAATACACAGGCACTCAATAAGTATCTCTTTAGTGACTGGCATGTAGTAATAGTGGTAAGCATTTTATGCAAGTATTAGTAATAAGTTAGCTACATGCCTATTCTACATGAGCTGTATGTATTAGCTCATTTAATTCTCACAAGCCCCCCCCCCCCCCCCCCCCCCCCCCGCATCTGTGAGGTTAATTAGGACTTTTGTCATTCCCATTTTACAGATAAGGAAATTTAGAGAGACAGCTTAGAAAAAATAAGTCATAAAACTTACAAGTGGTAGAACCTATAGAGAAGATGCTTAGTTGGTCCAGTTGAGTTTTAAACAATCAGGCAGCTGTGTTTTTGACTGGAGGTCAAGAGACAAGTGAAAATGAAGTTTCATATTTAGAGGGGACAGATTACCTGGTGGACCTCAGAACACAGAATATTCAATCTTTTTCAAACCCTGGCTTTGTCAGATCACCTTCAACAGGCCCCTGATGAAACTGTGGCGATGTGTGTACAGAAAACACATTTGGGCAGTAAGGTGCATATTTTTTCTCCATATGAGCCAAGATATCTATCACATGTTTGAACAGATGGGGTGGATCCACGGTGTATTTGCTGGTAACTTTAATATTGGGGAAGGTCCCCTGGCATAAGGAGCTTGCCAGGTGGGAGTGGTAAATAATCTGCCTGCTAGTGCAGGAGATGTATTTTGGATCTCTGGGTTGGGAAGATCCCCTGGAGGAGGAAATAACAACCCACTACAGTATCCTTGTCTGGAAAATCCCATGGACAGAGGAGCCTAGTGGGTTGCAGTCCTTGGGATCACAGAATCTGACAAGACTGAGCGTGCATGCATGCCTGCTAAGGTACCCCCCGAGGTGAAATTCAGACTTGTTTTTTTTCTTACTTTTGCTAAGGTGCATTTTCAAGGGAGACATTCCAGATCAACTCACAGATAGGAGAGGTATCATATCATTGCACTGCTTTCCTCTTAGTAGTAGCGTCCCCACTGATTCCCTGAAGAAAGAAAGATGGGCAACAATGAGTTCCTGTTTGGGGCGGGTCCATACATCTCATGGAAATCCCTGAATTTCTGGGATGATAATTACCTTCATTTTACAGAAAATAAGAATAATGACTAACATTTACTAAGTTTATCAAGTGTCGGGCACTGTGCCGAGTGTTTTTAGAGCATCGTCCCACTCGATTCTGACAGCAGCACTATATTTGGAACTACTCGATATTGGGTCAGAGAAAGGAGTGTTTTGTCCTAGGATACACAGCAGGCATTTGAACCAGCTTTTCCTGACTCAAGAGACTAAGCTCCTCATTACTCATTTCTGGAAGAACTGAGGGCTTTTCTCCATGGAAGTGGGGAGAGAGGAGGAGATTCGACGGAGAAGGCTGACGTGGATGTCTATCCAACGCAAACCTAGATCTCTCTGTGTTTTGCTAGATTCCCCAACTAAACTCTGACCCAGGCCTTGCCTAGGGACGGGGAAGTGGTGCGCGTGCGCACGGCCTCCCGTTCGGCCCCGCCTCCCGGGAGGGCTTCCCACCTCTCTCTCGGCTCTGGGGCTTGCGCACTACGTCCCCAGCCAACGGCTGCTTCCCGGTCGGGGACTTCCGGTGCGCGGGGTGCGGTTCCGGGTCGTGGCGCGGCTCGGGGCAACAGGGCTGCTGCTCGGCCGGCCAGCGGCTGCGAGCGGCGGGGTTATGAGGGCGAGCCCGGAAAGCGGCTGCTAAGCCGGCCGGGAGGAGCGCCAGTCCCGGAGGATTCCGAGAGTGCGGAGCTGGGGCAGGGACCGGGGGGCGCTGGGGAGCCGGGCCCTCCCCCCAGGAACGTGTCCCAGGGCCATCCCGGCCCGTAGTGTGGCAGAAGCTTCAGGTAAAGGTTGCCCCAGCCGCTAGATCCAGCACTCACACCCCTGCCAGCCCACCGAAGGAGCCTGGCTTCCCTCCTCACTCCTCCGCGCTCGCCGCCGCCCGGCGGACAGCGTGTCTGGCCCTTGCTCCAGTATCCAGTGAGGATCCGTTTCCTGGCCCTTTCCAGAATTGAAGGCTGTTAGGAACCTGACAGCTTGGGCGTATGATTTGGGGGAGGAGAAGCTAGTGGACTCGATAGTATTGGGGTTTGGGGAGGGTACTGTTAACTGACAGTTTCTGGTTCTACTCGGTGTCTTAATCTTCATAGCATGAAAATCAGGTTTTAAAAAGCATTGCTTGTGCATTCCCTGTCTAACGCCCCTTATCTCCATTGCCCCCAAGGAGTAAAACAGCCTTGCAGAACTGTTTTTTTATAGGCAGAGTGCTGCTGGAACTTTGATTCAGCCTTTTGTTTATGGGAGTGGCATAGAGTCTTCTAGATCTGCTTAAGGTTGGAGAAGAAAATATCACTGTAGTTTAAACAGAAGCATTACTTTAACCTGAGACCCGAAAGTTTGACTCAGAGATTGGCGCAATTTTCATTCTGAATGAAGTGATTTTTGAAGCTTATCACAATACTTGGCACTGTGCAAAAGCATCATGTTGTTGTAAACCAAAAGCAGCAAAGTTCAAAACTTCCCGAGGTGTGAACAGTCAAATGGAGACAGGTGTTTACACACATCAGTTAAAGTAAAGTCAACATTCTTACTCTGTTTTGACAAGCAGAAGGGGTGGATTCCTAATTTAAAGCAGCAGGGAAAGGAGGTACCATGTTCTATTCTTTATATTCTGTGAGTTCACACAAGATGCTCAGTAAATGCTGGAAGGGTTGTTGATGAAGGATTGATACTTGTTTTCATCTTGTTCAATTTACACACTTAGAGGCTTGTTGGGGCCTGTGAGACTTGCTGGTGGCTCCTTTCCCATTCAGATTTACTCTCATACTTACTTTCGTCTACCCTGATGCTGGAGGGTACGCAGATCCCTGATCTGGTTTCTGATCTGGCTCCTGGCTAACTTTCCAGCTAGACTTCAAAAGGCCCCTTATCCTGATTCTTTACTCTAGATAAGTAGGACCTGGAATGGACTTTGTCCTTTCCTTTGTTGTTAGCACTTTCTTTCTGCCTAGATTTCTCCTTTTCTGTTTCCATCTATTGGTGTTACCCAGGGCCCACCTGAAATTGGCCTTGCCTCAACCAGTTCAGGACAACCTCAGGTAGAAATGGTTTCTTTTATAGAATCCTTTAAACGCTCGTAATTCTATAGGCTTGGCCACAAAGTTTGTTTGGGTTTTCGTACCACCTGCCAGAAAAACGTGAACGAACTTTTTGGCCAACCCAGTTGATCACTTAGCAAACATTTATTGAGTATGGATATATACCAGGTCATCTGATGTGAACAGCTGACTCATTGCAAAAGTCCCTGATGGTGGGAAAGACCAAGGCCAGAAGGAGAAGTGAGTGTCAGAGAATGAGATGGCTTGGATGGCATCACTGATGCAGTGGACATGAACTTGAGCAAACTATGGGAGATAGTGAGGGACAGAGAGGCCTGGCATGCTGCAGTTCATAGGTCGCAAAGAGTCAGACAGGACTGGGCGACTGAACGATAATAACATATACCAGGTACCATGCTAGACAGCGTAGGGATAAACAAGACTCAGTTCTTTCCTGCTCAATTTAATGAAAAAGATAGGAAATAATTCTGACAGAGTGGTATGTGCACTGGGTTGGAGTTCTTTCTGTGATTCACTGGTGGTGCAGGAGGGGAAGAGGTCATCCACTTTTGAGGCATGTGCAGTGACCTGGTAAGGCTTCACAATGTTGGGTAAACTGAGCTTTATTATTTATTATAGTGGAGAAATTATGTCAGGTGTCTCTTGTTTAATTATTTTAACTTCAATTCACAGATTAGGAGGGCTCAGGATAAATAACACATCTGGTATGAGACAGAGCCAGGATCCAAACCCAGGTGTGTCTTATGCTTGTGTCTGTGCCTTGTATGTGTTTTTTCTTTTCTCACACCATAGCTCTCTGTATGCAAATACATATTGAAGCAACTATTCAGAGAAAAATATATGTGTTAAAATGAATGGTGTGGATAGTTCTTTAAATGTAGAGAAGACCATAATCTTCCAAGGCAAGATGGTAGTATGTGGTTCAGCTCAGCTTTGAATATGGGTGGACCAGACATTCTGTAGAGAACAGCTATGGACTCTGACTTCAATTCTTGGTCCCTCCTCTTTAATAGCTATGTGACCTTTGGCAAGTTTCTTAATTCTTAGCATCATTTTCAAGTATAGTTTGGGATAGAGAATGATACAGACTTCGTGGAGTAATGTGAGCTGATGTGGATAAAGTGCCTGGTATGTGGCAAGGTTCCCTGAGATGGTAGCTGTTAAGATGTAAAGGTGCAGTGTCTGTGGCATGGTTTTAGAGTAGTGAGTAGATCAGCCAGAATAAAGCAAGCCGTTGCTTCTTTAAGTGGGGTGTGTGTGTGTGTGTGTGTGTGTTAGTCACTCAGTTGTGTATGACTCTATGACCCCATGGACTGTAGTCCACCAGGCTTCTCTGTCCGTGGAATTCTCCAGGCAAGAGTATTGGATTGGGTTGCCATTCCCTTCTCCAGGGCATCTTCCCAACCCAGGGATCGAACCTGGGTCTCCTATGTAGGCAGGAGGATTCTTTACTATCTGAGCCACCAGGGAATACTGGGCAGTAAAGTTGGAGGGCCATTACAGGGCCAGAGTCAGGCCTTGTGTGTCAGGCAAGAGAGGTCGATTCCAGTTTCTGCTCATAACCTTAATTAATTGTTAATGAATACCTTGAAGATCTATGATTCATTCAGCAGTGCCAGGGAAAATGTTAGACCCAGAGACGCAAAAAGGAATATAACCAGGTCCCCACCCTGAGGGGGTGGAGGGGTGTGTGTGTGTGTGTGTGTGTGTGTGGCGCAATAACACATTGTCGGTACTAAGATAGGTGCTGTGCAGCACAGAGGAGGAAACGCTGGTGATGGTAGCTTGGGAGCACTTGCTGTGTACCAGCATTATGTTAAACGCACTATCTCGTTTATTTCTCTACAGGATGATATTCTAAGTATTCTGATGTTACAGATGAGGAAACTAGAGCACAGAGGGGTTAAATGAATTCCTTTAGTTTATGGAGTTGATGGAGCTGAGAGTAGAGGGGATTATCTCCTAGACTTCGGTAACTCTCCTTTTTAGCACTATGCCACATTCTTTCTCTGTGATGTGGATGGCTTCAAAGAGGAGCCAGCCCTTGAGCCCTAGATTCAGCCTCTGCACTGGGCAATAGGAATAATGGGGAATGAACATGGCTTCTACAACTCAAGGAGCTCATCACCTTATCTGTCACGTTTGGTATATATATTTAAGTGGGGTGTCTGTTTTGCTTGTTGACTCATAACTGAAGACTTTAGAAACTGTAGCAGTTCAGTGGATTATATGTACTTCAGCTGAGATAATTTGCTGTAAATCTGTTATTCTGATTGTTGTTGTTCAGCCACTCAGTCATGTCTGACTCTTTGTGACGCCATGAATGGCAACACACCAGGCTTCCCTGTTTTACTATCTCCTGGAGTTTGTTCAAACTCGTGTCCATTGAGTCAATGATGCCATCCAACCATGTCATCCTCTGTCATCCTCTTCTCCTCCTGCCCTCAATCTTTCCCAGCATCAGGGTCTTTTCTAATGAATCAGCTCTTCACATCAGATGGCCAGAGTGTTGGAACTTCAGCATCAGTCCTTCCAATAAATATTCAGAGTTGATTTCCTTTAGGATTGAATGGTTTGATCTCCTTGCAGTTCAAGGGACTCGAAAGAATCTTCTCCAGCACCAGAGTTCGAAAGCATCAATTCTTTGGCACTCAGCCTTCTTTATGGTCCCCTCTCACATCCGCACTTGACTACTGGAAAAATCATAGCTTTGACTATATGAACCCTTGTCAGCAAAATGACGTCTCTACTTTTTAATATGCTGTCTAGTTTTGTCGTAGCTTTTCTTCCAAGGAGCAAGTGTCTTTTTTTTTTCCTATTTATTTTTATTAGTTGGAGGCTAATTACTTTACAGTATTGTAGTGTTTTTTGCCATACATTGACATGAATCAGCTGTGGATTTACATGTGTTCCCCATCCTGATCCCCCCTCCCACCTCCCTCTCCACCCGGTCCCTCTGGGTCTTCCCAGTGCACCAGCCCCGAGCGCTTGTCTCATGCATCCAACCTGGGCTGGTGATCTGTTTCACCCTTGATAATATACATGTTTCGATGCTGTTCTCTTTAAACATCCCACCCTCGCCTTCTCCTGCAAGTGTCTTTTACTTTCATGGTTGCAGCCATTGTCCACAGTGATTTTGGAGCCCAAGAAAATAAAGTCAGTCACTCTTCCCATTTTTTCCCCATCTATTTGCCATGAAGTAATGGGACCAGATGCATGATCTTAGTTTTTTGAATGCTGAGTTTTAACTTGACATTGTGTTTTCTGTGAGTTTGAAGTTTTTCAGAAGTTTTGACCCCAAAGATAGCACATTTCAGCTTGTGTTAAATTTAA